CAGGCCCTTGGCTCTCAGCAGGTGCCGAGTTGTACCGCACAGAAAGGACAGCCACTGCCTGCCTCGGGAGTTCCCTGAAGTACGGTCAGAGCACTGCCAACCTGCCCACATTTAAAGAGACAGACATCTAACCCCAGTTACTTACATTATTCACATGTGTGTATATAAGATTTCTAATGTTGCACTTTAAAATCTATTATAACTGAAAAGATCTCACCCTTGTTTAAAATTTTAAAATATAACCGAACAACAAGAATCTGAACAAAAACCAATCTTTCTGAGAACAGAAAAAAAAATGAATAAGGAGTAACGTGTGTTTAAATTTATTTTAATTTCAGTAGTTATTTTTGCCAGAAGAAATCCAAGATAAGCAATAAACAGATTATTTTGGAATTAAGAAAGCTAGGAAGTATTTAAAAAACAGTGAAAAATCCCCAAACAAAACCAATCTTCTTCCCTACCCCCCGGGGGTCCTAGAACAGGAGATTACGACACCTAGTCCATTTACGGTGGACAGAGACACTCCTGGGGGTTGCCGAGGGCATGGCCCCTCCCTCCGTGCAAGATTCCTGCAAATCCTCAGAACTCTCTCAACACCACACGGTGCCTGTTCTCTCTCGCCCCTTTGTCTGCCCTCCCTCTCCCATGTGAGCACAGGTCTCCCTCTGTCCCTAACGTTGGTCAGACAATGAACTCTACTAGATTTCTGGGGGGAAAAACCTACCTGTTCACTTCTCCCAAGACTCCTAGGATGTGTGTGTATGTTTATAAGTAAATAATTGAGCATAATTTGTACATTGTACTAACTAAATGATACTTTGGGATATGATTCTAAATCATAATTTAATCCCTGCTAATCTAACACATTAGAATTTATTTTATTTCTATGTCTGATAATAAAGTTTTTATAAGAAATATATTTCTGAGAAGCTTCTATTTTATTAATAGAAGTATTGTTTGGTATCAAACTAACCATCCCTCATCTTCTATCTACTGCTTGGTACTGATCTCTAAATCAGGGGTCCTTAATCTTTTTTTTTTATCCTACTCTATTTTGAGAAACTTTTCTGCACAGAACTGCAAACATACAAACATTTTGTATAGAGATTCAGCTAAAAATTTTTCTCAGGCCACCCATGGGACCCAGGGTTAAGAATCTCTGTTTCAGGTAAACTTAAGAGCCTTGTATTTGTTCCTGTTAAATAATTTTATTTTTAAAAAATGGACATTTCAATTTTTAAGACCCCTTCCAAGGATCTATAAGCTAAAATTTCTTGTATTTATTGAATTTAAAAAAGTGAGGTCAACTATAATGAATGATTAGATGATTTAATGCTTTCCTCCTTGTTTCTCCTTTTTGGGTGTGGCACGCTAGGAAGAACTGCACAGACCCATATGGATACAATCTACATGTGTCTAAAAGAAACATCCAATATCCACATACCCCTGGTTTGGGGATTAGAATTGAGCTTCTTTTATAGATTACAATTAAAAACTTACTGAAGGCTAAATATATTTCATATTGTGAAAATAAAACTGTTTCTGGATAAATTCTTCCAGGGGCTAGCACACTGCTTTGGACATAGTAAGTGCTACATAATTTAAGTAAAATGGACAATATATTTGGAATGGAGTCAAAAACAGACATCGAGAATTACTTTTGGGCCTCAGGTCAAGGTAGCCACATAGGCTAACATGGTACTCACATCCTTCTACAACCACATCGAGATTACAGCTGAACTACAGAACCGCCATCATTCAGAATCACCTGAAATCTAGCTAAATGGAAGTCCTACAGCTAAGGATTTAAAGAAGAAGCCCCAACAAGACTGACAGGAGAGACAGTGATGCGGAACAGGCTGGTCCCATACCCACAAGTGGTAGGCAAAATTGGGAAGGATGTTTCGGCTGTAGAGGTCCCCACCCTGAAGAGTCCCAGCCTCATACTAGGCCCCCCAGCCCACTGTCCCAGTGCCAGGAAGAGAAGTCCCATCATTTCTGCCTGTAAAAACCAGACAGGATTGAGGCTGAGGGAGACAGAAGGCTTCTAAAATCCCATGCGGTTCCTCTTAAAGGGCTTCCACACAGATGTACTTGGCTTTACTCACTCTCTCGGCTCCAGAGCTGGGGCAGCGGTTTGAAAGGTAATAGAGACATATGGGGAGGAGCTGAACTGTCTGTGCCAGGGAGAGAGCTGGGAGGCAGCTTTCTCCCAGACAGAAGTGCTAGTAGAGGCCATTGTTTGTTTTCTGACACCCCCCCACACACACACACACACCGAGCTGGCAGGCACACCCCATAGTATGAGTCTCCAACGACCTGGTGAAGACTGTTTGCCCTGCCCTGGTGATTCCCTGAGACCCTGCCCCACCCAGCTTGCAGGGCTAACCCAACCTGTTTCCAGTGGGTTTCCCATACACATGACCTGTCTCGATTCATGCTTTGACCTTTTCTAAAATCTCTCGACCAGGCAGCATCTGGCCTCATTGTGCTCTGCACCTTTTGCCAAGTGGCCCCAGGCCTGATACTAGTAGCAGCTGGCCTTGGTTCACAGCTTGGCCTCTCCCGGGCACCTCCACACCCAACACAAGTAGAAGCCATCTGCAGATCATTTTGTAGTTCATGCCGGACAGCCCTGGACAGAACACAGGTGGCGGGAGACCTTGGCTGGGACCTCCTTGGAGGCCCCAGAGCCAGTGCACCTGGTGGACAGCTTCGGACCACATCGAAGCACCGCCCAACCACCTCCACAAGGGACACACTCAAGGGGCAGACTCAGCAGGCACCAGGGCCCTGCTGAAGTATGTCCTACTCTGTGTGAGGTGGGCACCAGCACGGCAGACCTTCCACAGTGGTCGCAGCCAGCCCTGCAGCTGATATGCCTGGGGATGAATCCCTCCCACTGATGTGCCAACAGCAATCAAGGCTCAGCTACAACAGGAGGGTGGACACAGCCCACTCAAGGGTCCGACTACACAAGGCCACTCTACCAACCCTGGGAGACGTAGCGGCTCTGCATAATACCTAGGAACAGAGAGAGGCTGCCAAATCGAGGAGAAAAAGAAATGTGTCCCAAATGAAAGTGAGGCCAGTTAGTAAGAAGCTAGGAAAATTCCATGGCAAGTGGAGTGGGGAAACTGAGACAGGAAGCTGGACAAACTGGTCGAACAATTTATAGTCAGACAATAAGCCCAAGGTCTTCTCTCTCCTAAACAAGGGCACTTAGGAGCAAATGGATTACACATGCTGGACCCTGCTGGGGTGGCTCTATTCAGCGACATTCTCTGAAGGTGAAACTGACCAGAAATGACCCTAGCCCCACTATGTGCTGATTTTGGTATGCCAACATATTAAAGAACTCACCTGGAAAGCTGATGAATATTCTGCGGAGACCCTCCCCCAAGACCTGCTCTAGGATTCGTACGTGCAGAAGACAGATAAAAGCCCTCAAAACAAAAGACATGGGCCTGCCTTGCTTGGAGTGCTCCCATACTCTTCTCTTGGGCACATACTTTTTTTTTTTAATTCTGGGCACACCCATGGGACTTGCAACTAGGGGGAGAGTGGGCAGCAAACCCCCTGAACTTGTCTCAAGCACCTTTTCTCTGACTCTTCAGAGAGCCAAAGCAGCCCCCCATAGGCTCTCTCCTGTTGCTTCTTTTATCCCAAGTCCTTCCTTGTGTTATTGTCTCCAGCTTTAATTGATGTGCTCTCAAAACCACCCGGACTCATGTTGTGAACTCTTTCCTGCACAAAGTCAGAACCAACACACCACCAGCCAGCCTGAGGCAGACCCACTCCAGCCTGGCAAAATAATTACTTTCTTCCTTTATACATGAGCTTCATAATTCAGCAATGGGAGTCACACAGCAGAATCAATTATAATTTTATAGTCATCCCTCACATGTCAAAACCCAAAGTGCAATATCTGATTTTAAGTTTTAAAATTCATGTTTCAGATTTTTCCAATTCTGTACTTATATTTGTAAAACTATGATGGTTTTACAAATATGATGGCTTACAAATATGCTACCTATCTATTCTCTAAGGGTATGTAATTTGAGTAGCTTTCCTCTTGAACTGAGGGCTTTTGTGGTGGTTCTGGTCTTCCCTGGAACTAATTGCTCATTTTGTAACTTAGTTGCCAGAGGTTGAGATCTCTGACCAGGAAATAAAAATAAATGGATTATAAAGTGATCAAATCTATTCAGAATTCATCAGCATCATGTTTTCATATAAGTACCTACAAACATTTACATGAAACTCTTTTTAAAAAATTCTTTTAAAAAAAAATTCTATTTATTTATTTTTAGAGAAAAGGGAAGGTAAGTACAAAGAGAGGGAGAGACACATCAATGTGTGGTTGCCTCCTGCATGCCCCCAACTGGAGACCTGGCCTGCAACCCAGGCGTGTGTCCTGATTAGGAATCAAACCAATGACCCTTTGGTTTACAGGCCGGTGCTCCACCTACTGAGCCACACCAGCCAGGGCCACATGAAACTCTTTTAAAAAAGAAACCTACATTTACAAAAATCTCAAAAAGCCAGCACAGAATACCCAATAAATGTTTTGCTGTTGTTCATGCAAATGACATAGTATTAAAATATTAAATATTTTAAAATGTAAATCATAGTTATTATCCATTTAATCATTTAGGAAATCTTACAAGATTTAATGATTTAAAAGCAAATTCTATTTCTATTAATACAAATCTACTTAACCCAAATTAGTATATATTTATCCTTGACATATGCCCTTTATTTTTATAGAAGTGTTTCAGACAATCAAGTAATCATATTGCTACTAGAATGTCATTTTTAGAGACTTTTATCACTCAGTGAAAAGAACTACTTCAAATGATATTTTCATAATAAAAATATAATAATTTTGAACCAACCATTTTCACTTTTGATTAAAAATTTAATATTGAAACATTCACACTGTCCTAAGACAGCACTTTATGTTGGGTATATGTTGAGTACTAATGTAGAATTCTTACCTGTAATGTACATGTGTGACTGTTGGTTTCCTGTATCCAAGGATCCAGGTTTGAATATCTATGGGTTTAGCTTCGGGATAAGCTATGGTTGTATCTATTATCCACTGGAGGCCTTTTGATTTGCTGTCTGAGGACAAAGAAAAAAACAACGACTTAAAATGGATCAATTTTATAACATTATTTACAACAAATTACATAGTACAGGTTACTTGAGCATAAAGCATATTCATATACCTTTTGCTTTAAGAAAACAGGATGAACTTGGTGTTACTGTTCTATGTGACACACTTAGGATGAAATTAAGCATTTCCTATTATAAACTATATAAATTTCACACAAATGAACAAACAACAGCATTATTATTTACTGGACATGTATCATTCGAGTATTCAATATAATTACGCACTGTCAAGGTCTAATTTATATTCTATCGCTCAAAAAGTGGCAAAGGTCAGAAGCTAAAGTATCACATCACAAAAATTAAAAGCAGACCTCAAAACCAAACAAAACCACCCACAAAATATAACAACATAACATGAGCACCCAGGTAACCTGATGCCTGGGAGACATTAATAAATACTGGAATAAGGCAATAAAGCAAGCGCTCTATTGACACACATGATCATCAGTGGCTGGCCATGTTTAAAACAAAACAAAAAGCTCCTCTCATTGTCGCAAGACTTATATACAAATAAAGGAATAAGCCGACCGACCGTCTGCCCTTTGGTCGGGACAGCAGGTACTGCTGTGGGGAGAGGACATGGGGGAGCACTGTTTTTACTGTCAGCACGGAGTACAAAGTTGAGCAAGACTTGAGATGGGAATCTCCATACAGAATGCTGGCAGCCAGACTTTAACATGTAATGGTCTATCCTTCCTCTGAGGTATTTGAGATCCCTACAAAATAAAACTTACTTTAAAACGTAAGTCCAAATGTGCACTAGGAATCAATGATACATTACTTTGGTGTGTTGAATAATTACAAACTGGCCTTAAATGCTTAAAAAATTTTAGGCAACATCCTGAAGGGGTAAAAATGCCCATAAAAGAAATAAGTAAAAAAATGGTTTAAAGTAACATACTGCAGAGTTTATGTAACAAAAACACATTTTGACAAGCTACCCATGATGTACATGCTGAAATGTTGAGGGGTAAAGTGTATTGATGTCTGTAACTTACTGTGAGAGGCATAAAAAAAAAGATAAACTAATGAACAGATAGAAGAATGGAGAAATATATGATAAAGCAAATTATAGTAAAATGGTAATTCCAGATCTAGTTGGTGAGCTCATGGATATTAACTATAAAATTTTTTCAACTTTCATAGGCTTGAAAATTTTGATCATAAAACCATGGGGGGAAATTAATCAGAGTTGTTTAGTATCTATTAAATTACACAATAATCAAAACACCTAATCACTTTAAGTTAATTCTGATACATGTATGAATTACATCTTAAAACAGACACAAAGATATGGAATGTTTGTTTGGAATAAAACACTACACAATGAATATGAACAGTAAATAAAATAAAATAAAATAAAATAAAATCAATACATGTTGCCAAAACATAAAGAAAAAATGGTAAAATGCAAGTTAAATAGCTTTTGGGTATACAACTTTCTAGAATTTCTTATATTTTTTCCTGAACAGTTAGAATAAAAATTTTAACTAAGGTAAGATAAATAATAAACTACTTTGCCTTGGTTATAAGCAAAAATTGTCTCGTTCCAAAGAAAAAAAAGTTTTTCTTCACCGCTGGGTGATCAATACGACAACTGCCCTGCCTCTGAGGCCTAGCACATCACAGGAGATGGCCTGGGCACAACCATTTAAAACCAGCGGTCTTAGTGAGTGCAGCAGATCCTATCTGGAAGTCCTCTGCCTTCGAGCTTTGGCTTGGCTGACATTGTACCATATCTCTCGAGTGGCAAAGCTATTCTGAACTTTCCTTTTCTATTAAAAGACTTTTTCAATTTGTCTTTGCAATAGATGGTGAAAGATGAAGAGAGCTGACTGCCAAGCAGCTGCTTAGAAAAAAACAAATGAAAGGAAAACTCGGTGTAATCTCACCAGCATTATCTCTCTGTCTGGTTCTTACTGTCATTTGAAAATACATATTTCTGAGGGCCTATCATCTCTATTTTTATTTTGTCTAAAGAATATTTTTTAAAAAATAGCAAAATGCTACTAAGGAAACAGGCCTGGTGAGATTCTTTCAGCTTTTATCACCATATTTTTATAGTGTCTTAAACTTGCTCATAAGTCTTCATGCTGTTGGCAAAATATTGTCTGCAAATCTTCCCCATTCACCAGGATATCTCCAAGATACGCAGTTCTACCTCTGAGTGTGGTTTACTTTTTCCTGGTCATAAAAGTAATACATACTCGGCATTTTAAAAACATACAGAAAAGCATTAAGACATGAGAAAAAAATCATTCATAATGTTTCAACTCAGAGAAGTGATCATGGGTAACTGACATTTTGGCATTTTTCCTTTCCCTCATCTCTGCTGCTTTGTTGTTTGTATCTTTGAGCTCAGACTCTTTTCTCCAGAGCTGTTTGCTCCTTCCACTCCACTATCATTAGAGAGCAGAGGTATTTTTCCAGCCATTAAAAACCCTCTATAAACATCATGTGTAATGGCTGTGTTGTATTCTGTTGTATGGATATTTTATTAATTATCTATCCTGTCTCCCAGCTATTTCCATTTTTTTTACTATTATTAATAATGCTGTGATAAAGTTTTTTGCCAGTATTTCAGATTATTTCCTTTTGATAAATATTTTTTTGCAGTAGAATAACTCATTTATTAATATTTTAAGGCTCTTAAATGGAGCCAAACTGTATTAAATTCATTCTCTGTATTAAAAACAAAAAAGCTTTCTAAACTTGATAAATGAAAACATTTTTTCATTACCACTTTCATTTGCGTATCTATGATTAGTTTCACAAATTACTCACTTCTTTCTCTATGTCTTTTACTCTAGCTATTCCACTTCTAGGAATCTATACCACAGAAACACTCCCACAAAAATGTAAATACATTTACAGGAATGTTTACTGTATCAGTGAGAATCGCCATGAGTGAAAATAGATAAGGTAGAGGAAAGACAGCTTTGACTTCATGCATTTTTGCATTATTTGAGTGAATTATTGTAAGCATTAACTAGTTTTTTAAATAGATACATTTAAAATTGTATTTCATCTCCTCCCTGAGTATTAGTTCTATTGGACAAAAATTATAAACATATAAAATAACACTGTTATCTTCTGGTACTCCAGAAAATCCTTTAACTCCAACGAAGGAAAAACAATGCTGAAAACCATCACACCTAATTTCCCAGCATCTCCTCCTGCTGGACTCCCATTTTCCTGTTGTGCCACAAGTGCATTCAAAATAATTTTTGTTGCTCCAACCCTTGGCAGAGTGACATGTTGAAGAAACGGCAGGTTATTTTTCTTGGCAAATGCCTGGCTTGTTTCTCTTCTCTTCCTGAGGAAGCCCCCTTCTGGAAATAAGACAATCCATTTTCGATCTCTGCTCCTGTAATTGTTTTCTAGGTGCTTCTTAAGAAGAAGTAGTTGTTGGTCACGGTGAGATTTTCCCTAGAAGGTAGACACACATATAATAAGTACAGGTACACTTGAAATTAAACTGCTATGAAATAAAAATAATAGTAACAGCTTCTAAAGTAAAATCCAATCGTAAACTAGAATGGTGACTTCCCCCCACTTACTGCCCACCTTGACTAGTGGTAAAAAGAAGCTATCAGTACTCATATAAATAACCCTTCTTGCTAAAGAAAACATTGCTCTTAATTGCCCTTTGAAGTTCATTCAATCATCAATTCTGTGATTGAGTACCTCCTACCTGCCAGGCACTGTCCTACACACTAGACATAAAGAAGAAAGTAAGAGACCCTCACTGTGGGGAACATAGTAAGTAAGGAGTGAAAATTCAGCTGGTCAAAGTGTTAGAAAAAAAAAGAGTTAAGAGGACAGAGGGGGTCAAGAGGGTCAGGGAAAGCAGCTCCAAGGAGGTGCAATTGGAGCACAGAGCTGACATGGTGAGGACACAAGCCACGTGAAGAGGACTCCAGGCAGAGTACTCCAGGTGACGAGGACAACGACCCTGAGCTTGAGCTGTGGCGATGCAGAGAACCACACCAAGGCCAGCACGGCTGACATGTGATAAATGAGGCAGACAGCTCGCGAGAGGAAAGTGCAGAGGTGGAGAGCAGATAAGGGCCCTGAACTTGGTGAGTGGTTTGGGGTAGAAAGTCACTGGATAGTTTTGACAAGGTAGTGTCATGATCTTATCTACATAAAAAAAAATCTGCTGGCTCCAGTGACAAAAACATTACAAGAGATATGTTAGGAGACTATTGCAGTTGTCCAGACAAAGGGGTCTGATGAGATTCGACTATGGTATATCGATGAGATGTGAATACCAGTATATTCAGGAAAAAACTGAAAGTCAAGCTAATGGGGAACTCGGGGCTGGGGAGCGCGGACTGGATCTTAGCTGTGAGGGAAGGAGAGGAAAGGATGACTTGGAGGCTGAAAAGAGGAATCCAGAAAACATTGCAGAAAGACCCCAAATCCGTAACTAAACAGTACAAAGGTTCTTCCTTCCAGTATGATCAATTTACTAATCATTTTTCATCTAATGCAATTGAGATGCTCCTAAAATAACCTGCATGCTTTCAGGCATTAAGTTATTCCAAACAGAAAACAAGTAGGACGTTGTCTTAGCTCTATGTATGTAAGTTCCCAACCCTACATGCAAAATATTTTTAATATTCTTGGAAATAACTTCTCAAAATTGTCTAGTAACAAAGTCCCAAGAGATTTTCTTTACCCATTAATACTTTTTTCTCTCCTCTCCTTCCTTGTTATAAATTTTTGTTTCTATTGGGGGGAACTGTTGCTCTTTAGAAAAGAATTTGCAAATCTATCTGATATTTGAAATAGTCTTTAAATATGTAAAACCTTACATTGTAATAAAAAGGAAACTATTTTAGAGTGCATTTTCTACTTTTATACCTTCAAAGTGCATGGTAAGTTAGTATAATTTGCCTCTTCTTAACAACTGAGAATCACATCAGGGTCACTTGTTACACTGCACTACACTATAAATTCAGTAATTTTCTTAGACCCCCACGATGCAAAGGACTCACCTGATTTTTCCCAGGGATTTCCCTACTGCTAAGCTTCCATTGTGAGGCTACTCTGAGATACTAGTTTGTTTGTTGTTCTGATCATATTTACTTTGTGTTAACCTTGTGGCCAGTCCCCACTTCCACTTCTTTCTGAGGTTCCAGAGCATGCATCTGTTCATCTCTCTGCCCAGAAGAACCAAGGGTGTGTCCAGAAGAAACTAGGTAATTGCGTGGCATGTGAAAAACGAGATGTGTTCTGTACATAAAACTGTTTGGAGTAAAGAACGTGTGTTTTGTGACACCTATTTTCAGAGAGCTTAGAATTTTTTCTACACACTTCCAGCTTATTTCTGAATGCATTATTCTCAGAAGGGGCTTAATTAGACTCACTAGTTATTCATTAAGTACTTATTATGTGCAAGGTACCACACAATCCAGATTTAAGTTGACAAATATAGAAACACCATTACCATACACAAAATGCCTGCATATCATATTTCAGTTGCCCATTCCTGAGAAAACAAAGTTTGTGATACTAGCAGCGTATCAGCGGAATACTATGTAATGTAGTGCTGACTTGGTAAGCGGCTATGGTCCTTTTCCTACACACTAAATTATTTCTAATGCTTGGGACCCATTCCCAATCTGCCTTCTGCTATCAAACCTACCCATACTCATTCTTTACATTTATGCCAAATATCAGCTTCTCCTCTCAAAAGCGTCTTTCTGAATCCACAGAAATCTGATGTACTCATTGTTCCTACTGCCAACTCTCAAAATAATTCCTCTTTTTTATTTAATGATCCCCCTACTGCTAATTTACAGACTTCACTTAACAGTGACCTATAAATAAAATCACAGTGATAATGTAGATGATGACAGTGGTAAGCACGACAACAATGATGCCCAAGGCGGCAGGCGCTGTCCTGAGTGCTTCGCAGGTACCACTGCCTCCTACCCCCCACCCACCTGTGAGGGGAGCACCTGTCGCTCTCCTCGCACAGAGCGAGGAGAGCAAACTTTCAGAGTTTAAATGACTTGCCCAAGTCACACAGGTAAGAAGTGGAAGAGCTGAGAATGTGGCAGGCGCTTGGTAAATGTTCACTGAACATGGTACTGTTTAGATGGGAGTAGGCATTAGAATATTCACATTATCAGCGTATTAATGCTTGTGCATACTCAAGTTCAGACCGCAATAAATGATTTAGGGAACACAGAGTCAGAGGAAGAGCTCCCTAATGTTACCTGTTATTACTGGTTTTGTTATGCCTCTTTATACAAGAAAGAATCAGTCTGATCAGGTTATCACTGAGAAAAAAAATGCTCATTACTTACCTGTCTTATAAAGAAGTCTCCGTGAATGAGAGAAACAATTCCAAAGTTTGTGTACCTAAAAATATGATCCATCAACCACATCATTTCAGAAACAACCTAAAGTGTTTAAGAAACAAGAAATAATTAAATGTTGGACAGAAGAAACCTGACTGTAGTCTAGACCTCTCTAAGTGTTGAGAGTACCTTCTTTGAATGTAGCATGGAGAGCGTATAAAAAATCAAGTAAACATTCCTACTTGTAAATCAATACTGCCCTAACTTTTTAGGTAAGAGGTAAAAATTTCAATATTTCCAGTTTTGTATTTCTCAATTACTCCTTTATGAAGAAGATTTTAAAATTCAAGATTTCAAATCATTCAGCAGTATCAGATCATAAAAATGTTTAGTATAACTAACCTGAAAACAAAAACAAAATTACTCTGAACAAAAAAATGTACCTAAGACAAACTAACTGAAATCTTTTTACAAAAGCAAATAAAACAAACTTTCTTTTGTCTGCATGACTGGCAAATTTCAGGTTAACTCTATTCTGGTTCATACAGTTATCATCTTTGAGTTAGAGTAATAATGTTAGGTGTATTTATATTGACCGTTTTAATCATTCTTTGAGATTCAAAACTAAGTACACTGTGTAATCACTAACTATGATAATATAATTATCATATCAGAAGAATAAAAATGTTAATTGGGGATACTCTTGATACAAAGTCAAATAAACTAGTTTTTACAAAATTTTAACATCATGAATTTAGGGTATAGGTGATAAATATCACCAGAAGTATAAATACATCTACACAGTGATAGTCTTAGTAATTCAAGATTCTTAATAGAAGAAAGGTGAATTTATTCCACATTCCAGCAAGATTATGCCTCTGCTTTCCAGATAAACAAGAAAACAGAAAGCATAGTAATCAAACATATTTTCCTCGACTCCCACCTCATTTCCTGACCCTTGAGCTACAGAATCAAAATCTCTCGGCCCTAAGCACACCAGGTGTCTTCTTGCCTTGGTCACCTTGGCCGTGACGATCTCACTAAAGAACAGGCCCTTCACTACTCTGCCTTACTCAATTCTACTTCTTCGAGGTGAAGTTTATGTCCTCTTCCCTCCACCACGTTTTCTATACCCATCAAGTACATTGTGAGCTCACCGGCCACCGATACTTCTCACTTTGCAATGATGTATCGTTTGCTGTATCCTCCCTCCACCTACCAGTGGCCAGTCGGCTCCTCTGGGAGGAGGAAAGTGTGTCATAGGGTGGTGATCTGTTTACAGTCACTGACCATGTATATGAAGCACTTCATAAACATGTGCTAATTTGTTTACTTACTCTAGGCCAAGTATTTGCTGCATTAATTTTATATACTACTTATTTAGTTTTCTATGACTAGAACCTGTTTAACTTCTCCTAAGGTGGTAAGTCCTTTAATGCTAAAGATAATTTCTTTTAAACCCACCCAATATATAGACACATCTTATTATTAATATAAGCCATTCAAATCACCAGTTCAACCAGAGCCTTAATAACATTAATTAAAATGGGCCTCATATTTTTCCTTCCAATACGCTTTGCAAATAAAATCCAAAATAATATTTACCTTATTTTCCTTTGGTGAAAGATCCCCCAGATCACCAAATTCATGGACTGGTTTCTCTCTCGTATCTTAAACAATACTGTTCTTTGTCTCTATATTTCTCAAACTGGAAACCCACCACTTCACCTTAAGATAGCCCCCAATTTAAACCATATTAACTTGGCTTTCATCCCAGTTATTATTTTAAAAACAGCTTTAGAGAGATACAATTCACATGATCCCAGTTATTATTTCTTTTTAAGTCTCTAAATTTCTCTCCTGGAGTGACTTAGAAATACGCATTTTTGAAGTTTTTCTAAAGTCTCAGGAAAAGCACACGAGCACATATTAAAGTCTGCGTTCCAACCGTAGGGAGACGCGTGGGTGGATTCCGCGCCGCCCGCCCCACCCCGCCCTGTCCCCCTCCGTCCCGCTGTCAGGCAGAGGCTCACCCGTCCTTTGTCCTGGAGGCACATCATCAGAGTGCACACGTCTCCGGTTGCCTGATGGTTCACCAACATTACTGCTTCGTCTTTGGAAATGGCTTTAATATCGTCGCCCCATTCCATCACTGTAAGAATAAACAAGCTGTCATTTTAAAGACTTTTATGTCACTAGAAACCTTGCATTAGAAATGCATTACTGGTATACATTAATGATGATACATCACTTAGCTGAAACTTCTGCACGTTTAGAACTTTACTTCTTATAAAAATACGAACATCGATATAACATTTTGCAAAGCCCAAAAACATCCATCAAAATAAAAAATGGTCATACCCTTTGATCTACCAGTTCTACTTTTTAAAATTTATCCTATAGAAACATTCATCTAAACAGGCAAAGATACATGCATAAAGGATGTTTGCTGCAACTTAAATGTCCACCGACAGGGGAATGGATAAGACACTTATGACGTAATAGAAGAGTATGAATCCATTAAAAGAATGGAGGGCGTCTCTGTACCCAAATCCCCCAAAGGACTTGTTACCTAAACAGAACAAGTCACAAACAGTGTATACAGCATGATAACATGTTTTTAAAGAAGAAATAAAATTTATGTTATTTAATACATTGGAAAAAGTCTGGGGGAATGAATTCCAAACTATTAATATTGATCGTCACTAGGAAGTGATTCCCAGAATGCTTCAAATGCTGTTTTGTAATAAAATATGCAAATATTATAAAAATATGTTAAGTATCTTCACTTCAAAATAAGAAAATAAAGATGTTGCGTTCACTACAAATCTCCAGATGGAAAGTCAGAGCCTATGCGAGCACTCCAAGGGAAACAGTGGCGTCTCCATGAGGTCAGGCTTCATTTTACGGTAAATTCACTTTGCAGAAAAAAATAAAATTGAGCACCAGTCTCACACATCAGTATTCTACAAAGAAGCTTCTAGGGCTCCTCAAACGCCTGCCATGAACTACCAGGGGCTGAGTATGCGTTAGTGTTCACTTGTCCCGGGCCACGCTGAATTCCCCAGTCCTGCTCGGCCTCCCCAGTTCCCTCTAAAAAAACTACTCTGACACGACAATAAAGTCATGTTGAATTTCGTAAAACTCTGTATTTTATTCAACAACACATTTAATCGCCAATGACTCTGGGACTCTTTCCCTACCATACCTGTACCATATGATACATACTTCAAAGACAGACACCGTTAGACTAACACAATCTAGGTAAATCATGCTTGAAGAGAAAAAGCACGTATTTCACGTGCGGAGCAGCCGTGTTCCGCGGACTGTACCCTGCTATCCCAGAACCGGCTAAGTGTAACGACGGAGCCAGTATCTTAACCAAGAAATAGGACTGTTGGCATGTTAAAGAAGAGAAGCTATGGATGCCTGCCAGGTTGTACATCGAACTTGATTAGAAGAACAAAAATATTTTAACATACTGTTCTGTGAAATGAATTCTCAAAAAATAATTGGGTCAGGTCCACTATTTCCAAAGGGAATACAGGAAACTGAATAAAAACTGAAAAAGGAGTTTTCTAGTTGTAACAGAATTTTTAAAATTCTTGTTAGAAACCAAAGCCAAAGATGATCACTTACCACACTCACCCACATGCACACACACACACCAACAAACCTCTCCCCAGAGTTACAGACTAGAGCTGACCAGGACATTTTTCATCTCAAAAAGAAAATTTAAAAGAATAATTCACCACAAATTCCTTAAAAACAGGGATGCTAAAGCCATTATTCTGACTGACAAGACAATGAACGTGGAAAAGAAAGGCTGCTTAATACATGACCACACAAACTTATCCTCCAAAGTTCAAAAACAGTGTGCCTGCAAGCAGACACCCTAGACTATTTTACTGTGTTGTGCCTTGGTTTTCTCCTTTATAAAACAGTAGTATCGTTAATGTTACTCCAAACATATTGTAAAAATAAATGAGACATAACTGACAGACTCACAGAGATCTTGGGTAATTGGATTACATGAGAGTGGAAGTTACTTTTGAAATCAATACTAACTAGAAGAGTCATATGCCCACTGTGTCACGTAAGGTCAGCTGTTCTAATAGGAATAGTAAAGACTGTGAAGAGCAAAACACCACATGAAAGAATCTCTCGTTGCTCAAAAACTGTGGCTTTCAGTAGCCCACATTGGAGGCAGACTGGATTGGATTCATCCCAAGTTAGAGGTTAGCCGAGCAAATGGGGCGAGATGAAAAGAGAATGAGAACATAATTAAGGGCGGCCATGAGGAAGTAGCTTAAGGTACTAATTAATGGAGGGGAGACTGGTGAGGAAAGGAACCAAGCAAGGGGGTTATTAACTGAAAGAAAACGGAGGGAGGAGAGGTATTTGAGGCTACCCCTCATCTTCACGCTTACCCATCCTAGTCAATCTCCCAGAAGGCCCGGGTATTTAGAAAAAGCCCCTGGGTAAGGCTGATGTTCACCTGTGAACAAGAACTGCTGGAACTGAAGCACTGCTGACCTTTGTTTTATTTTTTAACCAAGTATACTGAACATATTAGGCAATTGTGGCCAGTGCCCCTTTTTTGGGCACTTAAAATTTAAGAGGTTTAACTTGAGGAGACAAGGCTGAAGGTGTAGCTTTTGAACTGGTTGCTAAACGAAAAGAATAACAGCAGCATACATGATTAAATAGATATACAATAATTAAATACTAATAATCTTAATAGATAACACTTACAGAATGCTTACTTTGTGCCAGGCATTTATAATTAGTAACAAAATCCCACGTGTCCAGATATCATGATCCCCAATTTACAATTAAGGGAAACGAGACACAAAATGCTAAGCAAAATTTGCCAAGTTGCGCAGTTAGGAAGTAGGGGAACTCGGATTCAAAACCACGGCTGTCACTGCCCGCTACAGGTCAGAGAACCTTGAAGGCAGTACTTGGGTAAGTTGCTCACAGGTCCCCTGAAGTTGCCCGTTACTGTGCCAGGAAGTGGGGTGGACAGGCTAAGTCCCAAAGTCCTCAACAAATAAGGCTGGTGGATAGCAGCAATCAGGAGGGGTACAGAAGCACACAGCCAAAGAATTAAGTGGGGTTTGTTTGTTTGTTCGTTTGTTTGTTTGTTTTTGTGTGACAGTTGAATAATAACCAAGTCTAGAGAGGCGATGGATATCAAAGAAAAAAATCAGCATTGTCTTTGGGCCCAGGAGGCAGCCATCTTGAGCATCATACGCTCATCACAGAACCAGCTCTTCCCCTTAGGCTTCTCCGTCTCAACAAAGGACACCATCATTCACTCAGGCAACTCACGACAAAACCTGCGACCACCTTTGATTCCTCCCTCTCCTTAGTTCTCCACACTCAGTGCGTCTCTAAATCACGCGGTCTCTGCCTCCAGAACACACCCTGCACCCTCTGTGTCCGTCCGTCTTTGCCCTCCAGCAACTCTAACTCTTCCCTGGACTGCCCAGCATCCTCCTAACTAGTCTTCTTGCTGCCACTCCAGCCGCCTGCTTAAAAGAAAGCTTCAGAATATAGTCCAATTCTAAATACCAATCAAATCAAAATCATCACTGGTAGGCATGAACTTAAAAAGAGCACGAAAGTTAAAGGTAATAATTGGTAAGAAACTAACTGGTATTTAAAAAAAAAAAGAACCAATGTATTAGAGCAAACTCATAGACACAGAGAACAGATTGGTGGGTATCAGAGGGGACGGGGGTTTGGGTTGAACAAAGGTCGGTAGGGGGGTCAGCTGTATGGTGATGGATAGTAACTAGATTTTGGGGGGTGATCAGTTTGTGATATATACAGACATTAAATTATAATGTGCACCTGGACGATGTATGTAATTAATTAGTTAGCTAGTTAATTAAACAAACTTACACTGTTTTGAAAAAGGGAACTATTGATAGCTTGGGAAAAGCAATGGTTCCTGCAGCCATGAGAACTGCAAAACTTCTAGCATCCTAGCGAACAGCCTCTATCACAACCCCCAAATCCTACAGGTTTCCAAACATCCGCCTCCTGGCCCCATCCCATTTAAGAACCACTAAGGCAGAAAGTTCAAAATGAGTTAGGTCAGTACAGGCCTGTGGTAAAACCAGAGTGAGGTTAAGTAACAAAGGGGAGCAGCAGAGCCAGCACGAGGCCCAGGCCCGAGAGCAGCGTGCTCCCTGGGAGCAGGTCCAGCCTTCTGGCGCTCACCCTTCACCTACTCAGCCCAGGACGTGGCAGCCAAGAGTCTGCAAGTCTCCTCTAGAAAATCCAACCAGCTCTAGAGGAAAGATCTACAAATACTCGTATCTACGGCTCTCTAATGAAATATTCCAATCAGATCTGGTACCCTACAACTAGGTACCAGAATTCTGCACATCACCATATAAACCACAGAAGCCAGCAGGTGAGAGGAAATGGTGTTATGTGGTGTGGACAGGTGGGATGGATTGTGGGAATGAGGGAGAGTAGTTTTTTGTAAAAGGCGGGAGGCTATATTTTTGTATTATTCAAAAGGTAAGAATATCTTTAGCATCTTTATATTCCGGAAGTCAAGAGCAAAGATAAAAGGAGACAGTAATTAGTGACGTGAGACTGGGGGTGGGGAAGAGAAAAGGGAAGAGTCTCCAGGCCACAGCCCCGGGCCACCAGCCCAACCCAAGGCACAGTGGGCAATGAGGGGAGTTAAAAGCTGACCTAGGAGAGAGAAATGTTCAGAAAATAATCATGAACATAGATACCCCAGGTGGAGCTGAGCTGGGCGAAGTTGGGGATGCCCCTACAATGAAAGGGCAGAGAGCAGGCCTAAGTATTCACACCAGCCAAATGCCCAAGAGGGCTTATGCCAAGAAATTCATAGTTGGAGCTAATATGTAGCCTCTGGTTGAGGCCTGACCATATTCCCAAACTTTGAAATCCAGGCTAGTGAAGGAAAAAAGCACTAAGAATATAATCAGATGAGAAACTAATTAATTGTATTACATAGTGTTACATTTTCTTATTTTGAAGAGCTTTCATTCTGATTCTCTCCATTGCCACAGTAGAGCTGTAAGGCACAGAAGCCAGGTGTATCAGTCTCACGTAAAGCTGAGGATCAGAGGAGATACTGTACTAGGTAATACTGTAAGCAAG